AAAAATGTCTTCTAGAAGTAGCAGAAAACTTGGTAGGATCATGATAATGAAGGTTTGTAAAATTATGAAATTATAAGTGTCCAAAGTATATGAGGCAATGCTCCTTTCGACAGCCCAGCTTCTGGGTCACTTCTGTAATCAGGGGCAGCAGATGATATCTCTGTCTGCCCTGCTTCAGGAGAGAAAGGGAAACGAGGAGATGCCATGATCTTAAAGCCAGGCAGATCTTGGGAAGCTGATCCATTTGATTCTTCTTGAAAATAATAGTTTTTGTGATCCCCAGAGAAATTCCTAGTGCTTTCTTTATCAATGTAAAGGAGACTTGATAAGGAGGCCCCTGCCCAGTTCTGCAACCTCTCATCTGTTCACTTGTCTCTCTTGAGCCCTGCAACTTGTCCTCTGGAAAAACCAACAGGTTTCTGAATATTCGTGTTTCTGCCTGGGCCATCTGCCACCTGGAAGCAAAGCTCAGCTGAGGATACAAAATTAAAAGAAAACTTGTACCTCAGAGAAGAATTTCGCAAAGCGTCAACTACTTTTAAAAATAAGAGATAACTGTAGCTTCACTTATATTTGTAAGAGATAATACAGACATGCTTATACACTTTCATCAATTTCCCCCATTTTTCAGATCCTTGCCACCACCAAGACTATTCCAGTTCTGCTTTTGATAAACACCCCCCCACACACACACATCTCATAGGCAAATTTGCTTTCAGTTTCTTATCAGCCTTGAGATATCATTGTCATGTAAAACTTGTAAATATTTAAGATGTACTACTTAATGGTTGAGTACATGTTCCTTGTGAAATGATCACCACAATCAAGCTAATAAACATATGCATCACTTCTCCATGGTTACGTTGTGTGTGTATGTGTGTGTGTATATGTATCTCCATTTCCTCCTCCCTCCAGCTTCTGACAACCACCATCCTAATTTCTACTTCCTGTAACTGTTGTAGATCCCACATAGAAGTAATAACATGCAAGATTTCTTTTAATCACAGGTGGATTTCTGTATCACAGGTGGACTTTTATTATAATTCTGTTATGCCGTATGCTGGCCCTTAACAAATAAACCAAATTTTATGAGATGCACTTTCTCATTTATTAAAAAAAGTAATGAAAATTACTTGATGAGTTATGATGAAAATTAAATAACAGAATATTTTAAATAATTGCTACTATTTCTTAACACATAAGCAGTGATTTAGAATAATATCTGTTATTTTTCTGATTCCCGTTACCTGTGACCTTGAAATAAATTATTACAAAATATTAGTTTACTTTCAAAATCGTTGCCTTTGCATTGTTTTAATTAATTGAATTACTTGCTTAAAAATTTAGATTTTTAAATTATTTTCTGATTGTAAATAAACATTTTAGCATTATAAGAGTTTTTTCTTATAGCCTTCAGAGTTGCTCAGTCTTATTTTATAATTATATAGCCTCTTTAACTGAATACACTAATAAAAAGTTAATATCCTCCAGTAATTCTATTTCATTGGAAATCTCTATTTTCCTGGCTTTATTCAATTATGATTCATGGTAATATGGAAGAGTCCAGAGTACTTTGTGGGATTTCTCAACAATGTCCTAGGCCAAACTTGGTTTCTCCTGGTTTGTCTCATTCTTGCCAGTGAACTGAAGACCCTGGCAGTCCTCAGGAATGAAGAAAAGCTGGTTCTCCCAGAATTGTTTCTTCAGTGGTTGCTCATGCAGGGCTTGATGAGATCTCCCTGTCCACACTTCAAAAATACAACTGATTTAAAAAAAAAAATCCAACTGATCATCCCTTTTGTGAGTGAATACTGTAAACTGACTTATGGTTTTTAGAGTTAATGCATATTTTATGTCATAATAACTGCCAGATGCTTTTCCAAGTGGTTGTCCCATTTTTCATTATCATGCGTCAGAAAGGAGAATAGGGATGGTATGGAGTGTGGTGATAAAGGCAGAGAGGTACAGTAGATGTGACTTTGGGATAGTCTATTTTTGCTCTGTAAATATTGTTGACAATTAGAGGGGAGTGCAGGGCTTGGGCTGTGTGTGTGCATTTATGGGGCTTAAATAGGGACAGGGTAAGTGAATTGATAGGACCAAAGGAGATGAATTCCTTTTTTTTTAAATAAATTTATTTTTTATTGGTGTTCAATTTGTCAACATACAGAATATCACCCAGTGCTCATCCCGTCAAGTGCCCACCTCAGTGCCCGCCACCCAGTCACCCCATCCCCTGCCCACCTCCTCTTCCACCACCCCTAGTTCGTTTCCCAGTTAGGAGTCTTTCATGTTCTGTAGGAGATGAATTCCTAATACTTCTTCCCTTCTCATGCCTCCCACAAATCCCATATTCATCCTTTCACTCCTTTTGAATCTCTCATCTGACCTGACATCCTGGGCCCCAGACACCTAAGGGTTCTCTCCAGACTTTCTGTGAGAAGTTTGAGGCAAGAGTTTTTGGAATGTAAAGAGAGAAATGTTTGGAAGTACAGGGTGTAAAAGCTGACTTTTTAATCAGGATCCCTTCTCTAGTCCTCAAGAACTCCCTTTCTTCCAAAACTCAAATCCCAGGACCCCTCATGCATTTCTGAGTAAGTTGAGATAGGGCAGCTTTAGACTGTAAAACCTTGGATCAATACATAATTTGAAAATTACAGTTACATAGATGACCTGATGTTTTTGAGCTTGTCTAGGAAAAGATAACAAAAAATTCATCTGGAAAATGTGGGAGGGAATCAGAGACCTAAGAGAGTGTAAGAAGGTGGGAAGGTAGGGGGATGGCACTGATGTCCTGGGAACCTCCTCTGAAACATCAGCTTTAAGGTGGTAGAAATCAGTGAAGAAATCAGAGCTTGTCAGGTACCAGGAAACATGGGCTGGTAGGAAATCTGAATGAACCATGCTCTTTCTCCTACCTCCCAAAGTTTACCTCTGGAGCTAACCATATTGTGGTGATCCAAATGCCAGTATACTATGCTCCAAAAGACCAGGAAATAAAAAAATCCTCCTTAGGACTTTGTGTCTCCCTCCATTTCCTACATCTCCTATTGAGGAGGAATCTACACGAAATAACTCCCACTTTGGGTGAATTTTTTTTTTTCCTTTGGGTGAATTTTAACTGTTTTCAGTCTGAGAAAACCACCACCACAGGAAGTAAGGTGGTTAGAATGTGCTGGTATAGAACGATTAAAAAACAGGCACTGAGAGAATTATCTGAGTAAACTTTAGGAGCAAAACAGAGAAGACATGAAAAAATTGTTGGGTAACATTCTTCAAAGGCGCTGATATAAATGTTTGTGCCAGAATTCACACACACCACAGCACTTATGTTGACTGCAAAAGCAACAGTAGAACCAAACCATGATTATCATCAGTTTGTTCAATGCAATTTAAGTGGTATCTATAGCCATATAAATGTGTGTCTATTTAAATATCATTCCCTGTATGCAACACTTTGCAATATATTTGAAACAAGAAGGAACAACATAGAAAATTTCCCTTTCGGCCTTCATAAAGCTTACTGTTGTTTGGTGCAGGGCTGCAAGGGGAGGAGTACTTGATGATAGTATTATATGATAGCAAAGGTGATAAAAAATGCTAGCTCTCAGAATGCAATTTGTTTTTTTTTAAAGATTTTATTTATTTATTCATGAGAGAGAGAGACAGAGACAGAGACAGAGACACAGGCAGAGGGAGAAGCAGACTCCATGCAGGGAGCCCGACATGGGACTCAATCCCGGGTCTCCAGGATCAGGCCCTGGGCCAAAGGTGGCGCTAAACCGCTGAGCCACCCCGGCTGCCCTCTCAGAATGCAATTTATACAAAATGGAGATGATTATAATTGCACGTGAAAAGCATCACAACTTTCTTCATTGTTAGGAAAAACTTACTTCAGTATACTCCTATATGATTTTTCAGTTCCTGCCTCATAGATATAAGAGATTCGAGAAGTTTATAAGCCACAATTACCTTACATGTCTGTGGGTTACAAACAATACCAGAATATCTGTGCTTTACTTCACTAAACATCGACTTCTCAGTTGCCCTGCAGATCTCACATCAGTTCATGTGTGAAGTTTGCCATGCTCTGCAATTCCCTCAGTCAGAGATCTCTGGTAGAGCTGCCGCCACCATGAAGTTGCCCTGTCTACAATATGTAATCAGAGCAAGGACAAGATAGATAACACAACACTGAAGTGTGTGCAGGAAATAGAAGATGTTTCACCCCTGCTTTTGATTGATAGTAAAAGAAGGACACATTTTTCCCAAAGGAAGTGGGGAAAGGTGGAAAAATTATGGAGGTGTGTTACTCAGTAAAAGATTGTGCTTGAATACTATCATGTATTAACTTACATGTTCTCACCTGCCTCCTGGTTGTTGGGTAACAAGGCACTGATTTGGTTCTACTATGATTAATTTCTAGAAGCCTTCCTTTTCTAACCCGCCTGCATAAGAAACAGAAACTGGTAATTCACCGGTATACTCCTAAGATTCAATGACATTTTGGAAAAATTTTTCTCCCTCGGCTCACACTGAAGAAACTTTTACATTTTATTTTTACTATTTACAATAACGGCTGCTGACAGTCATTATGTCTGCTCATATTTACAGAGATTTATAACTGATTATCTTTCCCATCACAGTCTGCCTTGCAAGAGTTCAGATCTAATCTTTCCGGATCATTATTTTATCCTTCATGACTTGCTTAGGGCTTGAATATAGAATAAGCTCTACAAATAATTATAGGATTGAATCAGGCTATATCATTGTACTTCACTTTTTTTTTCTTGCTCAAATATTCTTGCTGGAGTAAGCCAGGGTAGGAATAAGAATGCAATAATTGGGTGCCTAGCTGGTGCAGGTTCTAGAACATATCCTTCCCTGGCATCCTACATGGTGCCCTCCCACAGTTATTGTTTTGTAAGTTTCTTCTCTGCTTCCTTTCTTTCATTTCCCCTTCTCAGATTTTAAGTTTCATTTCTCACTCAGTTCCTGTAGGGAAACTCTCTTGTGGAGAGCAGTTTTCTGGCTTGGTGAGTGAATCTTGCCTATACCTGCATCTGATCTCCGCTGAATCAAGACTTCTCTACTTCAACCTAAAGGTGTGTGTGGGGCAGTTTGGGAGGGCAAAGGACAGGACGTTTGGAAGGAACATATTGAATGTGTTTGGATGAGTTTAATTTGTGGTTCTGAAGCTGCTCTAAATTCACCAAAGAGCCAGCTGGTAGGTTTTCTGCAAAAGAGAGGTGCATTGAGTCTGGGGGCACCATGACTGATAAAGAAGGGAGGTTTAACAACATCAAAAGCCTTATTTGTTTCTTGGAGGGATCATTATTTCTCCCAGTTGAATTACTCTCATTTTCTTTCTTCCTGTCGTTTTGAATTTTCTACCTTGCCAAGGTGAGCCAGAATAACTCCCCCCCCCGCCGCCCAGAAACAGAAAATCTCTTCCTCTTTTCCTCCAGCAAAGCCCATGGAATGGAGCCCTGTTTTCCCTCTTCATAAAAGCCCAAGCTCCTGCAGAAAGCCAGCACAGACAAGAGTCCTTATCTGGACTTGTGAGAGGGAAAGGGAACTTAAGGGCTGTGCCTGGGAGAAGAAGCTCTTGAAATTCATCCTTTTAATCTTCTTGTCCTGATAACTTCTGGGAAGCTGTCTAGGACCTTTCTGATAAATTACCAGACTTTTGGCCAGCCTGATGAGAGAGGCTGGATGATTAGACGGCTGTCCATCTTTGCAGCTCCTCCATGGTCACTTGTCTCTCTGGAGCTCCAACCACATGGTATTTGTTTGTTTGTTTGTTTGTTTTTTTTCTGAGTGTGCATGGCTTACTGCCATCTCAACAGCACCTGCACAATGCTCTGGTGTTCACTCCTGCTTTACAAGAAGGACAATCATTGTATGGTTTCACTCATACAGGGAATGTAAAAAATAGTGAAAAGGATTATAGGGGAAAGGAGAGAAAATGAGTGGGAAAAAACAGAGAAGTTGACAAAACATGAGAGACTCCTAACTCTGGGAAATGAACAAGGGGTAGTGGAAGGGGAGGTGGGCGAGGGGATGGGCTGACTAGGTGTCGGCCAATGAGGGGGGGCACTTGATGGGATGAGCACTGGGTGTTATACTATATGTTGGCTAATCAAGCTCTGACAAAAAATATGTATATACATTAAAAAAATGAACTTGTCCTCTATCATCTTAGACACACCTTCCCATTGCTTTCTAGCTCAACCCTTTACTCCATTTTCCCTGCACAGAGCTAAGGAAGGGAGTTGGTAATTTCTCAGAAAGAACTCCATCTTAATCTCTCTGAACACCTTGTAATTTGATCTCCATATTATGTAATATTTTGATGTGTAATTTCCTCTTACTTTTTAGAAGTCATTGGTCTGTGTCTTATATCTAAACAAGGTTTATATCTGGTGAATATTAATTGTTTACTCAGGGGGCTAGTACAGGGTCCAATGGATGGGAGAAAGTGAATTAAAAAAAAATTTAAACATTTTAGATTAAATTCACAAGAGCAAAAGTATATAGCTCTGATGAAAAAAATTGTATTAACACTGAACATTCAATAAATACTAAGCATCTATAAAAGATTATATTCTGGGTGAGTGGAGTGAAAGTAAATAAACAGCAAAAAGATAATTCAATATGAGAAAAGATGAAAACAAAGAAACAATAGCACGAATAGACAAAAAGACCTGCCAAAGGGCCTGGTGTCTATGGTGTGCCCTGCTAAAGGGCTTTAGCAATTTAAAATAGATTTCAGGGTAGGTATCAGTGTGAGAAGGTGATTTTGAGCTGAGTTTTCATGGAATTGATGGCTTTAAGATGGATTTTTGCCCAGAGTGATCAAGAAACAAATAAGGTAGCCAGCCTAAATCGGGGAGGAGTAGGAGCTGGGCTAAGGGGATGAGGCAATAGGAGGGGATGTATAATGTGAACCTAACTCAACCACCATAAAGACTGACTCAAGCTGAATGATATGTATTTGAGCAGAGAAATGGCAAGACTGATTGATTCTAAAAAAAAAAAAAAGAGAGAATCATTCTTGCTGGTGGTGTGAACAGTGATGAGAGCAGATTGTATGAGATGAATGACAGTTTCAGGGAGACTGGTGGGGAACCTATTCCTGGAATCCAGGTAAGAGATTCAGTTGGATGGGATCTAATTTGAAGAGACAGACAAGGATTAAACTCCTGTCACTTACAGACATGGACCTGTGTGACAAAATGACTGCTTTGAAACAACTGGACCTCAGAGCTTGAGCTCTTGGGGGCAGGGTCATTTATGTGGGGGAAGATTAAACCCTGTACTCTAAAGGGTGGTAGAAGAGGGATGTAGAGAAATGCAGAGGAATTGTAACACTTCTGAGTTCCCAGGTCTCTGGATGCCAAGAACAAGCCTTACTTTCCAACTGACGGTTCCTAATCCAGGGAATAGGGAAAGTATTATAGATATTATCGAACCCCCTCATAGGACTTTCTCTCCTTATTGTGAAGACACTTCCATTTTTCTTGTCTAAACTGTGCAGACACAGAAAGCCTCTGTCCAGACAATCAGGATATAGTGAGAAAAGGAAACTTAGGATCTAGTAGGCCCTTACCCTACCATAGAAAGTCCTACATTTGTACTATCTCCAAAGTGAGCCTACATTTTGTTTCTGTGTCTGTCTGTCTGATTTAGGTGGAGGGAGTTTCAATGGTGAAACACTTCTTCAATGATAGAATAAAGAATAAATGAATAGAGGAAACAGATGCACTTATATTAGTTTTCTGGGACTGCCATTAAAACACAAATCACAAATCGTTGGCTTAAATGAAATTTATTTTCTCACAATTCTGGAGCCGAAGAGTACAAGATCAAAGATGTTGGTAGGGTTGGTCTTTCTGCAGGTGGTGATGGAGGATCTGTTCTGGGTTTCTGCTAGTTTCTGGTAGCTTCCTGGCTATCTTTGGTGTTCCCTGGTTTGTAGATGCATCACCCTGATCTCAGCTTTTGTCTTCACATGACCTTCTCCATGTGTGCATGTCCATCTGTGTCTCCAAATTGCCTGATTTTATGAGGACATAGTCATATTGAATTAAGGCCCATCATAATGACTTCATTTTAACTTGATCATCTGCAAAGACACAATTTCCAAGTGAAGTTACATTTACACATATTAGAGGTTAGGACTTTGACATATTTTTTGTGGAACATAATTCAACCTGCAATAGCACCCAATGTGTTTGAAACAGGACAGACTTTATCTCTCTATCAATGGTCTTTGTTTTATATTGAGTCTTCTCTCCCACAGCTGACAGAGGACTCAGTGGAATTTATGTTTCTTGAGATCTGTCATGTATGTGATCCAGAGTATGAATCTGTTCTTTTCCCCCCTAAAAATATAAATACCCATCTAGTTCTTACAACCTTTACCTCCGTTTGTCTTTGTTAATATCTATGTAGTGCAAAGATAACCCTGAAAGAGGATCCTGTGGATTGTATGTCCACCAACTCTACCCTTTATAAAATAATGATCTCTATAAATAGAATGATCTGTACATCATTTGATTCTATTTATACATCTGAAGAAAGGATATACTCCTATTTCTCAAGGATTTTTATATAAGGGGTAAATAGGTCAAAGTCATTTGTAAACTGCAACTGGTTATAAACTTGTTAGTGATACAATTATCTGCCTATTGTGGCCCTTGCTGTTTCTATCTCCCTATTTGGGGAATGAATTTGAGGGCATGGGAAGACTCCGTGTGTGACAGATGTCTTGGGAGGTAAATTTTTCAGCTATTAGAGAACTGCTAATAAATGGAAAGAAAAAATGAAGAGCTAATGAGAAAGATCTAGTCAATTACAGAAAGATGAGGAGTTCTAACTTTATAAATTCATCACATTTTGTGTTCCTGTGTCTGATGTTCCTCTCTAGATACCAAGGATCTGTCAGTGCACGAAACCATGCCTGATCTATCCTTAGATTACTTTTTAGGAGGAAGAATAAGACATTTAAAGAAAGATGTTATATATTATATAGTAAATAAGAGAAATTTAGCAAATTTACAGCAATGTATCAATTGACCAGAAAAGACAAATCTGTAAAAACAGGCTCAGAATGGGGGAGACAGCTAGTGACATTCAGTTTGTTTTCAAGTGATGGAAATGTTCTAAAATTGGACTTGGGGTTGGTAATACAGTTCCCTAAGTTTACTGGAATCATTGTATTGTACTCTTAAAATGAGCGCATTTGATATACATATAACTTGATAAAACTTTTTAAAAAGGGAGTCAGGCAAATATTAGGGGTAGGATCACTCCACTTAGGAGGAGAGCAGTGCAAAAGACCAGGTGTTACAGTGGGTTTAGTGTATTTAACATGGAGGATGTATTTGGGGGTGGGAGAGTAAAGACAGAAAAAATTGATGAGTTTCACATGGTTCTTGGTAGGAAGGGCTTCAATTTGTCCTACCAGCAGAAGAAGAGAAACTAGCAAGCTTGCCCTGATGGGGTGAAATTTCTCATGCGATATAAACTTAGAGTCAAGTGTTTGAAATATTACAAAGAGCCATTTTCATTCTGCTATTAACTTAGTTCTCTTGTCTGTTTTCCTTTCTGTATTGTATATTAATATTTTTCCCTGTTCTAAATCTCTACATAATCAGTATCCTTTCTACTTTTGCCTTTCTTATCAATATTCCTGCCCCTACAGGAGTCTGTGAGCAAGAAAGGCCTCAGTTGTCAGGACAGGAAGAAGCCAGGGGAACGCTGCAATGGATTTTCCAGCACAGGCAGACATACAGAAGGATGTGACCTGCCCCATTTGCCTGGAGCTTCTGACAATGCCTCTGAGCCTGGACTGTGGCCACAGTTTCTGCCAAGCTTGCATCACTGCAAAGAGCAAGAAGTCAGGAACCCATCAAGGAGAGGAAAGCAACTGCCCAGTGTGCCAGTGCAAATACCAGTTTTGGAATCTCCGACCTAATCAGCCACTGGCAAACATAGCGAAGAAAGTCAGGGAGAACATGAGCCCACAGAAACAAAAGCTCTGTGAGCACCATGGAGAAAAACTCCTGATCTTCTGTAAGGAGGATGGGAAGGCCATTTGCCAGCACTGTGCCCAGTCTGCGGAGCACTGTGGTCATCAAATAGTCTTCGTGGAGAAGGTCATCAAGGAATATCAGGTAGGCCCAAGGGTGAAGGTAAATGGGGCATAATGGTACCTCAAGTGAATCCTTCACTTTTTAAAATTACTTTCTTCTCTTGGTCATCATAGAATTGAGCTCTGTAATCTCTTTCCATACTCTTTGCTCAGCTTCTGGGATTTAAATGATTTTTTGTGCATTCTTTCACTTGATCAGAAATAAGAGAAGTTAGATGAGTGGAGAAATGCTTCCCAAGATAAATTCTGATTGCCCCTTTGAAGAGAGGGTTTCTGGGGGTACACGGTTGGTTGAATGTGAGGAATATGTCAATGAGATGAAAGGCACTTCCTTGGTGCAGTATCAGCTCTTCTGGGAAAAAAAAATCCTGTTACTCTTGACCAAGGGATGGTAGCTTGTGTCACCCAGTGATACAGAATACCTCTTCAGATTTTTGTCTATATCCTAGATTCTAATCACCAATTTCATTTCTGTAACCTCTTCTGAGATGAGTCTAACTTCTTCCCTCTATCCAGGTGCTAAGAAAGCTCATAGATTGATTCTGGTGCCTCTTTTCTCACAGGAGAAACTCCAGGCAGCTCTGAAGAAGCTGAGGAAGGAGTATCCAAAAGTGGAGGAGTTGGAAGTTGACATCAGAGAGAAGAGAGTTTCCTGGAAGGCAGGAAGAGATATTTCCTGAGGGAGTTCTGAGACAGAAAATGGGCAGCACCTTGGTCCAGTCACAGGATGCTCCTTCCTCTTTGTTACTTCAGAATTAATGAATTTGAGGGCTTCTTAATTAGTCTTCATTTCATTCCTTCACTGTTGGGGATTGGGTGCCAGAGAGTAGACATATCATGAGTGAAACCAAATATTGGGAAGTGAAGGCATGGAAGAAACAATAAAAATGACTCATGAATCCCATGTCCCATATCCATCATCAAGTTTGCGCCACTAATACTTCCAGAAAACACATTGAGAAAAGCTTAGTGTTCCCTTTGTAGGAGGTGTGGGGAGATGGGCTTCCTATGTGGTGTGGCATGATTATACAGGACAGATGTCTGCAATCCAAACTTCATCCAGCTATCACTTTGTGCCTCAGAGTGGGTCTTGATAAAGTAGACTTTAATCTATTTCTTTGGGAGAAACTCAAGAGACAATAGTGGGGAAATGGCTTTCTCGGTAGTTGCTCATTGCCTGTTCCCTATCTCTTTGAGAATTCTCTGAGGAAAATAGTTCTTGTCTTGGTTCCCAGGTCCAGACGATGTCGGCCCTTGGCCAGACACACTGACTGCCTCTTTCTCTTCTCATACCAAAAGAATCGTATGCAGAGCGAGAGACAAAGGATTCTGAAAGGGTTTAATGAAATGAGAGCCACCCTGAACAGTGAGGAAAAGAAGGTGCTGCAAAAGCTGGAGGAAGATGAAGTGAATGTGCTGGATAACTTGATAGTGGCCAGAGACCAGCTTGCTCAGCAGAAGCAATGCTTAAGAGAGCTCATCTCAGACGTTGAGCATCAGATATGGGGGTCGTCAGTAGACACAGTGCAGGTAAGGCTTGGGTTGGAGCTCCTACATGATGAGATTCTGGGGGAAACACAGAGACAAAATTTCCTTCTTTGCTGGGTCCCCACACTTTCTTCCTCACGGTGACATTCAAAGACTCTCAGGATTCTCAGTACCCCTTTTCTGACATCTGAAGGGTCATCCCGATAATTCAAAGTATGAACAGCAAGAGAAATTGCCATTATTAGTAATTTATAAAAGGAAGTGCAGCCTTCCGGGGCCGAGCCCCGCGCTCCTGCACTTCCGGCGTGCGCGTTCGGCGCCCCGCGCGTGGAGCCCGGCGCGGTGTGCCCATGGCGGCTGGGGGTAGCGATCCGCGGGCGGGCGACGTCGAGGAGGATGCCTCACAGCTTATCTTTCCCAAAGAGTTTGAAACAGCGGAGACATTACTAAATTCAGAAGTTCATATGCTTCTGGAGCATCGAAAGCAACAGAATGAGAGTGCAGAGGATGAACAGGAACTTTCTGAGGTCTTCATGAAAACTTTAAATTATACAGCCCGTTTCAGCCGTTTCAAAAACAGAGAGACCATTGCCAGTGTCCGTAGCTTGTTGCTCCAGAAGAAGCTTCATAAGTTTGAGTTGGCCTGTTTGGCCAACCTTTGCCCAGAGACTGCTGAGGAGTCAAAGGCACTGATACCAAGCTTGGAGGGGCGGTTTGAAGATGAGGAGCTACAGCAGATTCTTGATGATATCCAGACCAAGCGCAGCTTTCAATATTAGTCTCCAAATATCGCTCCACTGCTGAGGGAACTGTGTCCCAAGCCCATCACCACTGACCAGGTGTCTGGAGCTGACTTACACGGAAATACTATTGCAGAAGACAGTTGGGCTTCCTTTGGCTAGAACAACTCAGCTTGGTCTCAGTTTAGGTTGCTGTTTTAGACTTAACTCCTAGACCATGGTAACCTGGCCTTCCCTCTTGGAGGGGGAGGCATGAGGGGTGATGCGCACATAAGCTACACTAGTGACTACCTTCTACCACAGTTTTGGCACCTGTGTTATTTTTAAATTGTTTTTGTTTTAAGATTGTGTTTGGCTTTTTTTTGTTGTTTGTTTGTTTGTTTATCTGTTTTGTTTTGTTTTGAGTAGTCTCTCCCCCCAGTGTGGGGCTTGATCTCATTACCCCCAAGGTCAAGAGTTGCAGGCTCCACTGACTGAACCATTCAAGCACCCCCTTTTTTTTTTAAGATTTTAGTTTTTTAGCCCCTGTGTTAATTTTATTCCTAAGATCTCATGTTTTAATTTCAGCATATTTGTAGTTTTTGAAACTACAGGAAACGACAGTCTTATCTCAATGCAAAAGGAAGAATTAAGGGGCCCTTGGCTGATTCAGTTGGTAGAGCATGTGACTCTTGATCTCAGGGTGGTGAGTTCAAGCCCCATATTGGGGAAAAAAAAAAAAGCCCCATATTGGGCTTGGTGCCTACTTTAAAGAAACAAGGAAGGAACCCCAAATATAAACGCAAAAGGAAGAATTAAACCAGACATCTACCATCATCTGAAATTCTTACAGAAAGGATGATGGTGTTAATGACTGAGACAGCATTGGAATCATTGTGTTTAACCCAGAAGTCAAGGAAGAAGCTCACCAGGGAAAGTAGTTATACCTGAAGATAACTGCCAAACATCGGGGGCTCGTAGCCTTGGGGTTGATCAGTACCGGGCCTTTTTTCTTGACTGTTGAAGGATGTAGATTTCTCACTCCCAGGTTAAGATTTTTTTTTTTTCCTTCATGGGCCAGACTTGAGGGTCTGAACATTTTGAAGACTCCTTGTATGGGGCATCCAGTCCAAACTCTGTCATGCAACTCAGCAGCAGGTGATATCTGATGGGGTGATTGGGAAGGAGGGAGCCTGCCCCTTCCTGAGCCACTACAGTGAAGTCACTCGATGTAAAGCTAGTTGGGGGAAACTCTTTGATAAATACTCTAGGGATCCCTGGGTGGCTCAGCGGTTTGGTGCCCGCCTTTGGCCTAGGGTGTGATCCTGGAGACCCGGGATCGGGTCCCACATGGGGCTCCCTGTGTGGAGCCTGCTTCTCCCTCTGCTGTGTCTCTGCCTCTCTGTGTCTCATGAATAAATAAATAAAACCTTTAAAAAAAAAAAAAAGGAAGTGCAAAAAAATGGAGAGAAATTCTAAATAAGCTTCCGTTATCTTCACTTAAATTTAGTCAAATAACACAAAATCTCTGTTTATATTTGATTTTCTTGTTGTTGGTGAGTCTACACTGTGCAATACCTGTGATTTTGATTTGCATTTCCCACGTGTAAACCAGTAATGCTGAGCATCTTTTCATGTGGTTTATTGGCCATTTCTTCTTTGGAGAAATATCTATTCAAATTATTTCCCTATTTTTCAAATTGGGTTGTTTGCTTTTTGTTGTTGAGTTGTAAGAGTTTGTTGTATGTTCTCTATACTAACACCTCATCAAATATATGATTTGTGAATATATTATCCCTTTTCATGCATTATCTCTTCAATCTCTTCCTGGTGTCCTTTGATGCACACAAGGTTTTAACTTTGATGTGGTCCAACTTAGCTATTTTTCTTTTATTCCTTGTGCTTTTTTTGTCATATGAAAGAAATCATTACCAAGTCCAGTATTGTGAAGATTTTTACCTTTATTTTCTAACAGTTTTATACTTTCATATCTTTTTAAAAAATATTTTATTTATTCATGAGAGACAGAGACAGAGAGATAGAGAGATAGAGATATATATAGAGAGAGGCAGAGACACAGGCAGAGGGAGAAGCCGGCTCCATGCAGGGAGCCTGATGTGGGACTTGATTCCAGGACTCCAGGATCACGACCTGAGCCAAAGCAGATGCTCAACCGCTGAGCCATCCAGGTGTCCCTACACTTTCAGATCTTAAGTTTAGAGCTTTAAATGATCTTAAATTATAATTTATGTGTGATGTAAGTCGTCCATGTTTAATATTATTGTAAACATTGTATTATATTGAGCCTTTTTTGAGGGGGAATAATTTGGTGAAAAAAGGAAGGTGAGGAGATGGCAGTCAGAGTGAAGGGATGGGTTGCATGGGACATTTGTTTGATCTTAATTCAATTACTTTTTTTTTTTTTTGGTAACAACCTCTTGAATTATCTGTTGAACCATCCTTACCCTCAGCCCATTGTAGTTGGTTAGGGTTGATAAAATCAGCAGCAGCAGGGATGTATGTTTCTCAATTCTAGGTAAATCAGAATATCAAATTCCTACATTTTACCAATGATGCAATAACTATTATAAGATACGCATCTGACCCAATTTAGGTCAATGGTTTTTTATATGCCTTAGAATTTTACTATCATGACTAAAAAGAGAAATTCTCTTTTTCAGCAAGTAATATATCAGGGATTATCATTTAAACCAGGAGATTCAATTTGATATCATAGAGTCTAAAAAGAAAGTCAATATTGCAGGAAGAAAATAGAATTTTGAGAACACATTCTGATGACAAGATTTTCACTTAAAAACCTAGCTATGACTAAAGTTACACCTGCCCCTGAATTTATTCTTCTTTCTTTTAAATTTAAACAAGTTTTAGTTGGGTTTTTGTCATATACATTAACAACAAAAAAGCCTAATACAGAGCATAAAACTTTATCTGAGTATGTAGAACCAACTGCTGGGCAAGTATTTGTTGGTATAAAAGTGGTTAGGCTGGAGAGAGGGAAACCAAATATATTGGTAGGTTTCTGTTAAAAAAATAAGGCAAATAATGGCTATACTGGGAATAAAAAGCTGGCTAAAAGATTTTGAGGCTATGGACTGGACTGGCTTAATACAATATCGGAATTCAGAGTAAGATTTCTAGTTTCTAAGACAGTGACTGAGCAGATACTGGTATCATTTTGGACAATGGAGTGTAAATAGTTGGGAAATAATAAGTTATGTTTTAGACTTTCTCAGGTTCTGAGGCTTATTTCATGCTTAAAAATTAGGGATATTACCTATAGATAGTGTAGAGGAGGTATGTAGAATGAGTAGAGGGAAGCCAGAGAAACATTTGCTTGAAATGCTTGTTTACTTGTACTTGCAGCAAAAGAAAGTATACTTTTTGAGAACTACTATTATTAATTACTCATATTTGACTCTCCAGAGCCTGGAATAATGTCTGCAAATATGGGTTTCATCTTTATTTGTCTCTAGAACAAATAGAAACATAATGAATTAATGAGGTCTTCTCCTGAATGTAATTTTTTTATGTCAAGTCTCTTATCTTCTTTTTAAATATACCTCATCTCCCAGTATTGGAAAGCATCTTTCTAATATCCTCACATGACTGCTTGGGATGGTTGATCTCAGTCTTATCTCTACATTTTGTCCTCCATATTCTGATCATCAGACTCTGACCATCTAACACATTCATACCAAGAGGTATTAGGGGTCTAAGGTGAATAAAACTTTTTAAGGTAGGAGGGCTTATAGCTCCTTGGGGGGTTCCCAGACAAAATACAGGATGCATAATTAAATTTGAATTTTAGATAGAGAATAAATAATTTTTTAGTAGAAAAGTATCATAAACATTGCAGGAGGCATGCTTAAATTAAAGCATATTTGTTATTTATCTAGAATTAAATTTTAACTAGACATTTTTATTTTCTAAATATGGCAATGCTATATGTGACTCATGTTTTCTTTCTTCTCCCCAGGATATGATTAATATCATGAAAAGGTATGTGTGGGAGACCAGGTATGGTCCTTTTTTAAAGTGAAGACAAAGTTATCTTGGGATCAATCAGGATAAAAAATAATCACAGAGCTGGAGAATTTGGGAATTATATAATCTCAAAATTTTGATCACAGGTGAGGTTTTCAATGGAATTTGGTGAAAGGAAGTCACAGAGTTAGGATCAATAACAACATAATTTCACTCAAACCTCAATGTCTGCCTCAGTTTGCTTTCATATTTCATAGGTGTCTATCTTATTTCAGAGAAGATCCCATCCTCCATCTGCCAGGCCCCCAAATTTTCCACAAGGATAACACTCTTGCACTTATTTTTCTTCTATATGTTAGAAGAAACAAGATCTTTCTAGTGGTTTTATTTGGACTTCCAAAAAAAAAAAAAAGCTCCAGTCTTTAACAATAGTGGCTTTCATCCTGGTGCCAATAATTAATCTCTTCTTGCTTACACATTTTAGCATCTTGTAGAAAATATAGTCTTCTTGTGTCTAAAGTTGTCTATCCACCTGGCAGCATCTAGTTCTTTCCAAACACATGAAACTTTTAATTTGATTGTCATAATATCTCCTTTTCTAGATGTTTGTAATATTTCCCCAGGGAATGTAACCTTAAATATTATTATCTAGATATATGTCTGGGGGTAGCAGGTTTTGGAGATCCTTCAACTTTTAATACAGGAGCTATGTACTTGATAACCTAAATTTCTCAGTAACCAGGGTCTGGAGCATCTTTACTGACCACATGCCTGGGAAATCCCATCTTTAGTGGTGGAACCACTAAGATGACCATGACTTCTTCATATATCAGACGCTTTTTAGTTTTTTTTAATTTTTGTTTTTTTAGATTTTATTTGTCAGTGTGTGTGTGTGTGAGAGAGAGAGAGAGATAGAGAGAGAGCACAAACAGAGGGAGCAGAAGACAGAGAGAGAAGCAGGCTTCCTGCTGAGCAAGGATCTTGGCTTGGGGTTTGATCCCAGAACCCTGGGATCATGACTTGAACAGAAGATAGATGCTTAACTAACTAAGCCACCCAGCTGTCCTTAAATACTTTTTTTTAGAGGCATCAAATATCTTTTAAAGGCACCATGAGTTCACCTAGTTTTATTATTTTTAAGAGGTAAAGTATAGGGTAAATTTTTCCATTTTAGAAGGAAGAATATGAAGCTCTTTGAGGTGAAGACCTTCTGAAGATCACACGGAGGGTAAATGGAAAAGTAGGCATGAGCATTTTTCTTCTGTTCGCAGCACCAGGATTCTCCCCTTTTCCCCCTTCTTCAGTAGAGGGAATTTAAGTGTATCAGTGGGGTGAAAAGCGAGGGAAACAGCGGTCTTTTAGATACACAAGGTCAGAAGTGAGGTGATCAATTTTTGTCTTCTCTAGGAGTGAGAGCTGGACCTTGAAAAAGCCAAACATTGTTTCCAAGAAACTGAAGAGTACATTCCTAATTCCGGATCTGAGCGGGATGTTGCAAGTGTTTAAAGGTAAGAAGAGTCAAGGGGAAGGTTTTGGGTGTGGAATTCTTGCGGTATTAGGGCAAAATAGGGGAGAGGATGTTGTTTCTGGATGAAGATAAAAGAGAAGATGTAGACTTGAGAAGGAGAGGTAGAACTCCTGAAGGTGTGATCAGACCTAAGGGGGAACAGTCAAGGTGTCTGCTTCATCATCTTGTTCATGAGTTCATAGCCTCACAGAGCTGCCCTCCCTATCCCCATTCTAGTGAAAAGACAGGTATCAGAGTTTACTCCTTTGCTTCTAACGACATCATTGAAACTTTTGTCATTTCAGAGCTGACAGATGTCCAATGCTACTGGGGTAAGAAGGAGCTACAGTTTGTTCTAATCACTGTGTTCTGATTCCTTTTTAGAAATTGTGGTTACTATCAGATCCCATGGTCTTAGTTTCATGTGTTCCTCTCAAACACACATGCATACAACAGTTCTTGAGTGTTCTACTCATCTCTGACCCATCAACATAAGTTTCTCCCAGTCACTCCCCAATATTCCACCTCACAGTGTCTCAAGACACATCTACTCTGTATCTGTCACCTGACCCTGTCATTTTTTCTTACAGTGGACGTGATGTTGAAACCAGTCAATGCTATTTCGAATATTACCATTTCTGCAGATAAAAGACAAGTGACAGTTGTGCACAACTTCCCACTTAAAAGTATACATCCATGTGATTTCTCTGCTTTTGATGTTTTGGGCTGCCAACATTTCTCCTCAGGGAAGTACTACTGGGAAGTAGATGTGTCTGGGAAGATTGCCTGGATCCTAGGGGTGTACAGTAAAGGAAGAAGCTTCAAGAGAAAAGGGGATTCTGGGTTTGTTTTCGATCCAAAAGTAAATCATCTAGATGTTTACTCCAGATTCAAACCTCAACTTGGTTACTGGGTTATTGGGCTACAGAATGAATCTGAGTATAAGGTCTTTGAGGAGTCTTCCACTTCTGATTCCAAGGTTTTGACTCTTTTCATGCCTGTTCCTCCCCGTCGTGTTGGGGTTTTCCTAGACTATGAAGCACGCATTGTCTCATTTTTTAATGTCACAAACCATGGGTCACTCATCTACAAGTTTTCTGAGTGTCAGTTTTCTCAGACTGCTTCTCCATATTTCAATCCTTGGAACTGTCAATGCCCTATCACCCTGTGCCCACCGAGTTCCTGAACCTTCTTAGCCCCTCATCCACTTGTGTGTAGCACCCTTTGTCTTGGGGCTTATCTAAACCTGAGCTCATCTGCACCATTATGAACACCTCTTCCTTCTTTTTTCCATCTTTCATTTTAGAATATTTTTGGAACAGTCTGCTAGGACGGCTGTAACAAAGTACCACAGAATGGGTGGCTCAAACAACAGAAATGTCTTGTCTCACAGTTCTGAAGCCTGGAAGTCTAAGACCAAGGTGTCAGGAGAGTTGTTTTGTTTTGTTTTTTTCTGAGGGCTCTGTCTATTCCTTGCCTTGTAGATGGTTGACTTCTTTCTGTCTCTATTCATATCATCTTCCCACTGTGCATTTCTGTGTCTAAATCTACGTTTTTCTAAGGACAGCAGTCAGATTGGAGCAAGGACCACCCTAATCACAACATTTTAATTGCCCCTGCAAAAACTCTATCTCTGAAAGGTCACATTCTGAAGTATTAGGGGCTGGGACTGTGACATATGAATTTGGAGGGAATAAAAGTCAAGTCAATAGTCTTTTACATGCCCCTATTATGCAGTGAAAGCTTGAGCCTTTTTCTTCCTAATATTTTGTTTTCATTAGCAGAGAATGCTTTTTTTTCCTTATTAGTTTTGCTTATTATTAGGAAAGAATGTTCATTTGCAAAGGGAACACATCTAATCCCTTCTACAGCAGGAGCAGTATTGCTGTACCTCCTTTGACATTTCTTTCCCTCATTCCCTCTGCTGTTTAATAGAATTAACAAAGGAAAACATCGATTCTTTCCATGTGCATGGGACATAGGACCTTACATAGAAATCTGTCAGTAGGTGTTGAATCCTTCAGAGTGTGTTGCTTTACCAATGGCACCCTTTTATGTATCATAGAGTTAAAGCTAAAGTGCATAAGTAAAATATTTACCAAGAATAGATTGTTGGTGCTCAGAGTTTCTGAGGTCAAATCCTGTCTCTTTACTTTCAAGCTGTATAAACCTGAACAAGTTACTTAGAACCTCTTGGTCTCATTTTCCTAAAGTAAAAATTGATGTCAAAGATTGTACCCATTTCCTAGGGTCACATTGAGAAACGAAATTTCATTAGGTGTGAAACATTTATCTAAGAGTTTTATATGTAAGAATAAATATCTGTTATTGATGAAAAAATATGAGCTGTATCGATGAGGTACAATTTGGCTTGGCTTGGTTTGGTTTGGTTTTGCTTTAATAAAGTGATAATTGACTCTGTTGAAGTCTCATTTCTCATTTCTCAGATCCCAGAACCCTACTGCAGACATTATGAATTTTCATGATGTGTCCTATAGAGGTCAGGTCTAGGCTCAACTGAACTTATGAGAGACAGCCTTCTGCTGCTCAGTCCTTTATCTTGTGGTGAAACACCTGAGTACGTCACTGCATTTGCCCACCCTCTGCACTTTCCCCTCTCTTTCCCCCTTCTTCTTCTCCCTCTTCTCCTTTTCTTCCTTCTTCCTCTTCCCTCTCCCCCTTCTTCCCATCTTTCTCCTTCTTCTTAAAGAATATGAAATAAAGGATAGAACTACTCAGGATAGTGAAGATATGGTTTGTTCTTTGAGAAGCATGCATTATAAATTAGGGCAGGCTATGCCACTATACAAAATTTGAATCAAGATTTGCAGATCTTTAGATAAAGAGGAGTATTTTGGTATGCTGGAAGAAAATGAAAATGTCTGGCATGGGATCTATGTATATATCTTTACATGTCTATCTATACACATGCACAAATACACACATATATGTATACATATGGGTATATGTACATGGAATCATTTGTATAAATATATATATATATATATATATATATATATATATATATATATTAACATGATCCTGGTTAGTCTTCACAAATATCCTAAGAGGGAGAAATTTATTTCAGGAGGTTAAAAGAGTTTATAAACTAAAAAAAAAAGTTTATAAAGTGTTATAATTTTCTCTTATGGACCAAAGGCTAATGAGCGAGGGAGGCAGGATTAGTACCAGCTGTGTGCTACCCCAGCTTCTGTGGTTCTCCTTTGTACCACACCCCAGAGAAGGCAGCAGCCTGGCTCCCACGGATGTGGGGAAGAAGGGAGAGTCAGGAAATTCTACCTGCAGGGGAAGCCTGGTGCATCTTAGGGAAAAACTTAGGTGCCATTAAATGAAATTTTATATGCTCAATCCATCTAGCCTAAATGAGATGGAAGTAAATCATGACCATAGGCAATATTATGTTGAGCTTCTTCATGGCCAGCATGCTATTGCAGATGACATGAAGAAAATATCCTCACCCTTTAGTGTAGATGATAAAGGCTAGAATTGGAGGTTATAAGGCTGGACTCTGAAAACAGACCAAATTTTGTGTAATGAATATATAGCCTCTTTGTGGCCCTTATCAAATACACTGAATACAATAAGAAAAAGTGGGAATTAGTAGTCAAGGAACAGGGTCAGACATTAGTAGATGGAAATTTACTAAGAAAATCCCAAAGAGGTAAATATTGCTAAAAATAACTGACAGAAGTTTTGTCAAAGGGCAGGCCAGGGTGATAAGGTATTGAAGAGTGTTCAGATCAGGGGCAGGAATTTCCAGAAAACTCAGCAGGATTCTGGACCACAGAGAAGAATGTCAGAAGTCTGAAAGTCAGGACCCAGTTGAGGAGAGTTCAGAGGAGCCTGAGTGGTTCAGTCAAGGAGAGAATCGTTGGCACCATCCAGGCCTTTGTATAAGCCTAACAACAGGCAAGTGTCTCTGGGCCCCTACAGCCTTCTATTGTGATGGCCCCCACTGCTGAATATATTGTATTCCGTATTGATATTGTATTCACTATTGATATTGTATTCAGTATTCCATATTGATAAGGCATCTGTGCACACCTTTGTTAGCCTCTGCCCCCAAACCGTTATAGGGACATTTTGGTGGGGCATGTGGAAGATTGTAAACATACTTGATTCACAGGCTATAGCTAATGGCCTGACTGTTTGATTGGACCTCTACAGAACCTTAGGCTAGCATATAAAACAAGCCTCCCCATAGAGATGGGGAATTTGGAGAAAAGTCCATTGTTCCTATTACGTTTTTGTGATCCATGTGGATGCTCAGCAGAGAGGACCCCATGCTTGGCCAAGGAAACAATTGATGAATAGACCATGACTGTCAACTAAATGTGGAGACTACAATGTCCTCTACTCCAGAGCAAACAGTATGTGACCAATTTCTTGAATTCAGGTGAGGATGGCCTTTGAAAATCTAGACTCCACCTTATGTCAGGCCTATACACACACACTGCCCTGTGAGAAGATGCTAAAAGAGTATAAAGAACTTGTCCCATCTTACCTATCAGACTCTGCCTCACTGCTCAAGGACAGATTCCCTAGGGCAAGGGATGGAGTACATTCTTGGCAGGTGGAACATTCTGCCTCACAGCAAACCTCTTGTACCATCAGAGGATCTCACGTGATCCTGCATAAGTTGACACTTTCATTGCATGTGTCCGAGCCATCCCATGCATTCCATTGACTCCAGTCTCACTATCTCACTCCTAGTCCTCCCTCTTCAAGCTCCCTCAGGCACAGGGGTTCATAAAATGGCAGGAGACTTTTATTCAGGATTCCCTTAGCAACGAGACAACCCCCGTGTCTGTGCTGATCGCTCTGCCCCTCAGCTTGTGCTCTCCTCCAGAGGGGAAAATGGAGTGAGGACATTGGCACTGTTAAAATCAATTATAGACTCAGCCTCTGTCTAAGGAGACAAAACCAGCTTAGTCGTGTAAAGTTTAACTATGTTTATTTTGCCTGGCTCCCTTAACCTGGGTCATTTCTAGCTTGTGCCTTTGGAAATCCTAAGCAAAACCTGAATGGTTTCCCAAGGTTGATATCAGGCAACCACTGACCAATTCCCTGTAATTTATCAGGAAATTCTAAAATCATAACCAATCTCTGTGAAGAATAAACAGTCAAACCTTTTCCCACAACACAAGCTGCTTTATACACTCACAGGCCTCATACCATGTTTTGGTTTGAGTTCTCCCCCTGGTTTGCAAGTTATCCTTTTGATGTGTGCACAATAAACTTTTACTGATAACTACTTCACTAATTCACTGGTTTTACTTCTGTTATTTATGAAATTCGATAGCATTTTCTCTTGTTTTAGCCTCTTCCTTATGCTACTGCAGTGAATGTTTAAAGGTTTTACTGTTACTTTTGTTTTCGTTTATTGTTTTTAATCTGCTACTCTGATGCTTGATTGCTTAGACCTCTTTAGATCATCTGGATGCTCCTGGACATGCTCAGCCTCCAGGTGATCATTCTAGGGCTTTGCCCTTCCCACCACGTCTGAATTTTGAGTGGCAATCACACCATTTGTATTTCTGGGGCCTTAGGACTTTGCTGGAACACTAATGAATGAGATGGGTGTCCACAGTGGGAAGTCTGGGTAGGCTCAAGAGAGCCTTCAACCCTCAGGATCACCCATGGACAATGTATAGGCAGTGGTACCTAGAACCATCACCAGACAGTGATCAGCCATTTCTCAATATGCTGAACTGAGATGTTGTTATTGGAAGACTGACACGCAGACCACCCCCATCGGTTTGGAATTCCAATAATTTCCTCTTTGCTCAAGGAGGATACTAGACAATCTAATTATTTAATAATAAATTTATTTTTTATTGGTGTTCAATCTAATTGATCGAGACTCCTAATTTCTCTAAATTGTTCAACCCCAAACTTGTTTTTAATCTCAAAGGCCTAAGCCCCTCCCCCTCTACTGTGCCTCTTTGGACTATGCACACTCCCTTCCTCCTGACCCCACCTCTCTGTTCTGGTGACTCTCTTTCCTGTAGTCTGTCTGAGGTGGTAAGTGTGGTTTTATTTCTTTCCTGAGTCGTGCTTTCCTACTAAGACCCTCCCAGCACATCCCTAGACTCTGAGTATTTTCAGTTGTTTTTGAGAGTTTTAGAAAGCAATAACCCATATTGTCTTCAAGGTATAGAGAAAAATCCTCATAGCAGATAAATGTTATTTTTCTTTCTATCAAACATACCATTATGCCAAGTTGTCATCTTCAACAAACTCATACAATTTTACAATATTTATATTTAATGTGTAACCTGTATACATTTTTGGTATTTAATATAGTATAGCAAAACTAGAATGAAGTGATGATACATTACAAGTGGCACCTGGGCCCTCACAGATGTTCTCAATGTCCCCAGGTCTTCCTGTTCACTAAGAGCTTTATTTCCTTTTGCAGAAGTATCTTAGTCTCTTTATAGCTGTCTACTTTTATTAGGTATAATATACTAAATTTTTAAACAAAACATTTCCATTTTTTATCTCCTAACATTTGGGCTACAAAAATAGTTATAGTTTTTGTTTATCTGATAAAATGTTTTCATTTTGGCCTTATTAAGAATATTTTCATTGCATACAGAATTGCAGACTCATTTATATGCATTTTTCCTTCAATTTTTAAAAGATATCATTCCACTGCCTTCTGGTCTCTGATGTCTCTAAATAGAGGCCAACAATCATCCCACTCTGTTTATTGTGCTGCTTCCTCTTGCTGCTGTCAAATTTTTCTCAGAACTTTGACTATAATACTTGAACCTGATTTTCTTTGTATTTATTCTAATTAGGATTATGTCTTTCATAAAATTAGGACTTTTTTTGGCTATTATCTCTTTAAACATTTTCAGATATATGTTGTTTTCTTTTTCTTTTAATTCTGGAATCCCAATTAAATGTGTATTATTCATTTTATTTTGTCCTACAAGTCACTGAGACTGTTTTCTTTTTTTTCTCTTCAGTTTTTTAAATATGTTGTTCAAGTTAGATATTTTTTCCTCTTTATTGAGGTATAGTGGACAAACAAAAATTGTATATATTTATGGTATACGAAATTATGTTTTGATATATGTATATATTGTGAAATGATGACCACAATCAGAATAATTAATATATCTGTCACCTCACAGAGTTCCTTTTTGTGTGTGGTAAGAATACTTAAGATTTATTCTCTTAGCAAATTTCAAGTATACAATACAGTATTTTTTTAGGATTTCATTTATTTATTTTAGAGAGAAGAAAAACAGAAAGAACAGGCAAATGAGTAGGAGGAGGGGGAAGGGGGAGGGGGAAGGAGAACAAATCTGAAGCAGACTATCTGGATGAATGTGGAGG